TCCTGAAGCTCTACACAAAGGTCTTTTTATCTAGAGTCCTGTGGAATCATTCAGTCATCATCATCTTTTAATTAGATTGGTGATTCTGATCACAGGGAAAACAAAAACAGTGCCATGGGTCCCCTTCTTCCAGAGTCCAGATTGCTTGCCTTAGTCCAGTTTATTTACCAAGACCCCTTGTTTCTGAGAGGATGTAGATGGAGGAGTGCAAATATACCTCCCTCATGTGTTTGTACAGAAATGCATGCATAAAGATAGGTGTGATACAGCACAAAGTGGTTTCTTTTTCCATGTAAATAGATACTTGGAAATTGTCACATCTTGAGTTTAAGTTTAGTGATATGGTTTGTCTGCGTCCCCACCCAAATCTCATCTTGAATTGCAGCTCCTGTAATCCCCACATGTTGTGGGAGGGACCCAGTGGGAGACAATTGAACTATGGGGGCAGTTTCCTCCATACTGTTCTCATGACAGTGAATAAGTCTCATGAGATCTCATGGTTTTATAAAAGGTTTCCCTTTTCCCTTCGCTCTCATTTCTCTCTTGTCTGCCACCATGTTAAGACATGTGTTTCATCTTCTGCCATGATTGTGAGGCCTCCCCAGCCACATGGAACTGTGAGCCTATTAAGCCTCTTTTCCTTTATAAATTACCCAGTCTTGGTTATGTCTTCATCAGCAACATGAAAACTGACTAATACATGTAGAGATTAAAGGTGACACCCAATCTACAAAACATGATCTCTATTGCAGCCTTTTGTTTTCAGAGATGGAGGGTAGGTGAAGCCATGAAGACAGCATGTTTGTAAATCTGGTTTCCTGGCACTCAGCCTTGAGAATGAGAGACAATGCAGGGCAATTTCGCACTAAACGTGGGGCCTATTGTCTAGGCATCTTCTAGCGGCTTAAGACCTACTGGCTCCAACTTGGTTCTTTCTCGGATTCAATCTTGTCATAGCTGACATGGCAAACACCTCTGGTTGCCTATCAAACATCCATTTTCTTTTCCTTATTAAGAGAAATTTTGTTTTTGTTTTGTTTTGTTTTGTTTTGTTATATGGTAGCAACGTCCTCACTGAAAGATGATATTTTCCAGCTTCCTTTGCTGCTAGAAGTGGTCATGTGACACAGTTCTGACCAAAACACAAAGGCTGAAGATTCCTCAGAAAGTTTTGTTTTCATGATATGCAGATCCCACTCTTTTCTGTTTCCCTCTCTCTTTTCTAAATGAAACTGGGGCGTGTTGGCTGCAGCTGCAGCCACCATTTTATAGGTAAACACGAAGGGAAATTTAAGAGAATCACAAAGATCTTGACTCCAACTCCTCAGATTACTGCACTGGCCTGCACCTCTAGCCTCTAGACTTCTTGTGATATGAGAGAAAATTAAACTTCTATCTTCTTTAAGCCAAGGATATGTGGTTTGATTTGGTTTTGTCACATGTATCCAAAAATGACTTCTAATTAACATAGACACAACTGACAGCCAAAGTACCACATGTTTCTAAAGGAGAGGGTGCTGGATTTTTAATCATCGGTATAAATCAATAGGAGAAATCTCTTATTTGGATATATTAAACAAAAATAATTAACAGATTCTATTTTTACATTTTAAAAATTTACATTAAAAACTCTTAGAATTAAATAATTAGGAGGCAAAAGAGGATCTTTAAAAATATGAATTATCATGTTTTTATCATGCCCAAAGTGTGTGCGCGCGTGTGTGTGTGTGTGTATATACATTTTTTTTTTCCTTTTTGAGACAGAGTCTCACTCTGTTGCCCAGGCTGGAGTGGAATGGTGTGATCTCTGCTCACTGCAACCTCTTTTTTCCAGGTTCAAGCGATTCTTGTGCCTCAGCCTCCCGAGTAGCTGGGATTACAGGCACGCACCACCATGCCTGGCTAATTTCTGTACTGTTAGTAGAGACAGCATTTTGCCATGTTGGCCAGGCTGGTTTCAAACTCCTGGCCTCAAGTGATCTGCCCACCTCCGCCTCCCAAAGTGTTGGGATTACAGGTGTGAGCTACCACGCTCAGCCACCAAAGCATATTTTTAATGTTTAAAATATTTATTTAAACAAGAGGTAAAGAATCTGAGCAACACTCTTGGAAAGAGTAGTATATAATTAGTGTCAGAGAGTAGAAGGATGAAAAATCCATTTTCTTCCTTGAGGCTATTAGAGTTTCCTTTGTAGTATAATATATCCTTGGCATTAATCAGGTGGTCCTCTCAATCCACCCATATCACAATCTACCTTTTCTGTCCATCATATATATGTTATACAATACAACATATATACGTTATATATAACATATTACATATATTATATATGTTATATAACATTTGTGAACTAAGTAGAGTGGAAAGGCGGGGAGAGGATTCTATGTCACATCTGGGTCTGATTTAAGGTGATTAATCAAAAGAAACAAAGCCCTTGGAGGTGGAGCTAGGAGCCTTTTCCATGCACATGGTGAACAACTTTTGTTGCTGTGAGGATGACAATGGTTCATAATTACAGGTCTCCTTTGAAGAGTTATTTCATGTTGTCTGAATAAAACAGCCAGTGGCTAAGGAAGTGAATAATGCAATCTCACATTCTACTTAGATTACTCCCCACACAGCCAAGCTAGGTAAAGATGCTGGGTAATGATTAAATATTCCCCAAGTAGGGACTACAAGGCGAGCATTTTGAGGCTAGAAATTGTACTGCACTGCTGGAAATGCCTGCTTGGTGTGTTACTGAACTGCTGATCACATGTGAAAACTGCCAAATTGCCCAGAGCAATCCACCCTGGGGCACTAAAAAATGAAAATTAAAAAAAAAAAAAAAAAAAGACTGCTTTTCAAAGGAGAAATTCAAAGGCCGTTACTGCTTTCCTCCCTTTTGGATTCTTCCTTCTGATTATCCTGTTTTGCTGCAAGGATTTCTAAGGTATCTGCTCTTAGAAGCAATCTTTTCATCTTGCTGTACTATGGACACACCTGGACTGTGTGCTGTGCAGAACAGCCACCAGGCTCCCGCTTTCCCTGAGTCCCAGGCTAGGGACTAACTGTTCTTTAGAGAAGGGATGGACAGGAATCAAAGGGAAAATTCTTTTTGGGGAAAAAGGGAAGGGGCATATATTATTTGTGGTCAACCACATCTCTGAACACCCTCTCTCCATTTTGATAGGGTCCCATTATTTTAGTCCCACATTCCCAAAGTAGAATCCTAAAAACTCCATTTCCCATCAGCTCTTGCAGCTAGGTACAGAGATATAATGGAGGTTCCACCGATCAGACACTCATTCAAGACTGATTTGGGAGTCTCTGGAGGGGATTCTACTGTAGGCACAGGTGGTAGCGGAGGCAGAGGAAGAGAGTGCAGACTCAGGCAGTTCTGTAGCATGCTTCTAGGGGTAGTCACCTCATCAATACAATTAGAGACATGGCTTTGGGCACTGAGCCTGCAAGATTAGGCTTGAGCCTGGTTCTCTGGTCTTCCCTGACTAATATCTACCCATCAGTTTTCTCCTTTTCTACTTAAACTACCCAAGTTGGATGCTATTATCTTCAGCTAAAAATTACCTGACCCAATAGGCACACACATGTGTGATGTAATGTAACTACCCTTGCAAATAATTTTTTTTAAAATTTTGTCGGAAAGAGTAGACCTCTCAAAAAGATTTTAACCTTGATCTGGGTTTGGCACAGAGGAGCACTGCAAGCGTGAGGAGATTTGAGAGAGCTGTTCTTACTTCGCGATCAGAGTTCATGGAAAAAAGTGACGGCTGCCAGAACACGGGATCACATAGGTTTACTCTTGTGAAATAGCCAAACAAGTGATCGTCTGGATGGGTTCTTCTAGGAGCATTGAGGAAACCTTTTCTCTTTGCCTGAAATCCCACCATTAGAGAAAGCTTCCTCTGGATCTGGAAGGTTTTTTGGTTTGTTTGTTTCATTTTTAGCTCTATGACTGTCCTATTGGAAAGCAAATCCTTGAGAAGGCTTACACCTTCATCATCAGCGGCATGGGGGCTTTAGTTGACATAGATCAGGATCAAGTTCTTGGGAAAGAGGCTGAAGATAGTCTCATGATAGAGAACGGGGCCCTGTAGAGGAACGTGGTAACACTGAAAACACAGTTCACACGTTTTCCCAGGTCTAGCTGTGTATATGTTGTGAATCAACATGGGTTTAAAAGAAATTAGAAAGAACACGTCATCTCTTATGTGGTTCTTAGGTAATCAAAATAAGAGCAAGACAAATCTCTTTAGGGTTGCAAATGTGATTCTCCTAAATGAAAAAAATTCTAAACATATGGCAAGAAGCTTTGAAATCTGTTAATGTGCAAATGTCATGATAAAAAAGGAACCGGTAAAAAAAAAAAAAAAAATAGAACTAGTGAGTGTTAACGAACTGCCAGGCCACATTCTCTAAAAATGGAAGGAATTGAATTCATCTTATCCTTTAGCTGTGGAGCTAACTAAATGTGGCACTGGAGACGACTCCTCCCAGACTGGCGATGAAATTTTGAAAAAAACAGTGCTACTTGCTAGGCATAACTATACTGAAAGGGAGGTTTAAAATGAGTAATGCAGGAAATCTGGTGACTGTGGATATCTAGATCCCACTTCCATTTACTACGTGACTTGGGCAAGGCACTTGATCTCTCTAATCCTCTGTTTCCTCATCTGTTAAATAGAAATGATAATTCTGAGCTTAAAGGACTATTAGGAGGCGTCCATCAATAATATCAGCAAAATACCTGGTCATGGTAGGGGCTGAAAACTAGGAAATTCTTAAGTGATGAATAGGGCTAGCCTCCATCTTCAACCTGGCCCACCTGATGGGAATGAGAAAGTGAGGGAGCCTCTGGAAAGGCTCTTAGTCACTACAAGGATTCAAAGGGGCGAGCTTCAGCCTGACTTGGTCAGTGAGCACACGAGTACATCCTCAAGCTGTTTGTTCATCTCTGCCACACTATCCTCTCATTTGGGATTGAAATAAGAGAACAGCCTGTGTTTAAGCTTTTATTGTCAATGGTAACAGCTCGGGGCCTTGAATCTAACCAACAGGTAGCCTAGATGTAGAAAGCATTAATTGGAAGACTCTTTTCGACAATTGTTCACAGCAAACAAGTTCGAACCAGAAGATGCTGCTTGAAAATCACGAATTTAGTCAAGGATGAAAGATACAAGAATAGTCAAATATTTTGCACAAGGAAATCTTGTTGATGATCCGTAGAACTGATGCTTGCAGAACGCAGTCTCTTACGGGTTTTGTTTTTCTCCTTTGAGAGAGGCCATCATTGTCATTGCTGGTTCAGCTGGGGGGTTCCTTCCTTCACGTTGAGAACCTGGAGCAGAGAGTCTACCAACTTAAGAAATATTAGAAAGAGTTCAGCGAACAGAGTGAGCTGAAGTCTAATCCTAGAAGTAAATCCATTCCTACAAGCCATCAGCATCACTTGGGAGCTTGTTAGAAAGGCAAATTCTTGGTTCAACCTAACACCTACTAAATCAGAAACTCTGGGGGCGGAGCGCAGCAATCTGTACTTTCACAAGCCCTGCAGGTGTTTCTGAGCATGTAACATTGGAGAACCAGAGCTGTCCCCCAAGAGACAAATTAACTTCTACTTTTTTTTTTTTGAGCTACTGCATTTTGGGATCTTATTGTTTTATCAGCTTAACGTGCACCCTGATATGATTACTCAGGTATGTTTTAATCAATGTTGGTTAATGTACTATCCCCAGGAACTTATTACTAGAGGAACAGCTGAGTGGTAAATTCTGGGAATGTGGAATTTGAGTTCTTACTTTGCTTACTTTGACAATGCATCATCACACAAATCAAAGCTAGTTTCTGGATTACATAATTATACATTACAAACCTACAACTGTAAATGGTAGTAGTGTGGAAACTTGGGAAGAGGAGTTAATTTGGATTTCTGCCAATTCTAAATTTATTGTGGTTTGCTTGTTGTGGCTTCTGCTCAAATTAACTAAGACTAAAGAAAGAAAGAGTAGTTATAATTTTAAAATACTTCTTTGTTCCCATACAGCACCCTTTATGCGCTGAGATGAAAAAACACTTTTCGTTGAGACTAGAGCTTATTACTCTTCCCAAGATTCTCTGGCAATTCAGATTCCCCAACTTCCATATCAGCCATTTGTTTCTAATAAAGGAACTACTGATATTCTTGGGCAAATAATTACCTGCTCTGTGGCTCAGTTGTTTTGACCATGTGCTAATGAGCCCAGGGCCTGGGGTTTGATTCCCACGCACGCCAATTAGCTTTGCTCGCCTCCACCAACCCAGGCTGCCCTATTAAAGACTGCCGCCTGTCCGAAGATGCCAGCACATATCTTGCCTTATGAGTCACTGGTCATAAAAGCTAGTGTGTGGGGAAAAAAATCTACGTAAGTCCCCCATTGGCTCAAAATGTTGAATAAAAGAGGTTTGGCTGGAAGGAATAAAAGCTAAAAGGAAAAAGAGAATTGTGGAAACTAGGAAGATTAAGGACCTGGGAGGCAATGGGCGGGGGGTCTACTGTCGGGGGTGGGGAGGAGCTGTATTCTAGGTGGGAGCCAGCTTTACTCTGCTCCGTCATAGAAAGTGCCAGCGTAATCAGAAGGTTATGAGTGATTCTTGATTGTATGTTGCTTTTTCTATATTTGGCACTTCCTTTGGAGCATTTCAAATATTCAGAAATAAGACCTTCCTATTCTCTGTACTGATTTGATGAGACAGTGAGAGTAGTCCCTTAAAAGTGAAGAACGAACACATTTACTTTCTTTTCCATAACAGCCTTTGTAGCTCATTTCCTTGCCCCCTTCATGTCCACTAAATAGAAGGAGAGACCTAAGCTGCAAAGAATAAGGGACTAAGTCCAAATTATAAAGGGAGACCAAAGGCCAACTAAAACCTCCACTGAAACTCAGGACAATGCACAACCACATCCAGGATCATGGATGAGGCCCTGGAGCTTCATCCATGGGGATGAGTTTCATCTTGCAGAAACAGAACAGTCTCATGTTGCAGAAACCATGGGGAAAAAGTTTCATTAATTGCAGAATAGAATTAAAAGATTTGGGCCAGGCGCGGTGGCTCACGCCTGTAATCCCAGCACTTTGGGAGGCCGAGGCAGGCAGATCACGAGGTCAGAAGATCAAGACAATCCTGGCTAACATGGTGAAACCCCGTCTCTACTAAAAAAAAAAAAATACAAAAAATTAGCCGGGCATGGTGGTGGCGGGCGCCTGTAGTCCCAGCTACTCAGGGGACTGAGGCAGGAGAATGGCGTGAACCCGGCAGGTGGAGCTTGCAGTGAGCTGAGATCGCGCCACTGCACTCCAGCCTGGGCTACAGGGCGAGACTCCATCTCAATAAAAAAAGAAAGAATTAAAAGATTTGTGAGAAGGGCACAGTTAAAAGGATTAAGGTTAACCTTGAACATTGCTGGGCATAATTGCTCTGAAAGTTCTGGAGCTGTTTCCATGATCGAGTAACCTAGTTTCAGTGCACATTACACACATCCTTTATGAATTAAGTAAATATCTTTGTCATCAAAACATAGGAAATGCTTGGAGTTTCTAACTACAGCTCCAAGAGAGTTGGCAACAGTACTTGATGTTTTATTACTAAAATGAGAGAGGAGAGCATATGTAGATAGTTTTTAATTTTAAGAACGGTCCTTCAGCCTCTGAAAACTCCTGCTGCTAATTCTGGCAATGCTTGGCTAAGTTATTAAGTTTCTCTCTAACACTCCCATAACTCTAAGATATGGGAGATATATGGGTTTCTAATAGAACTAATCTCTTGGCACCCCTTCTTTTTGAGTCAGATCATTGTAAGGTGTTTTCAATTTTCATAACAACATACTTTCATTGAGGTGGAATTTCCAGTGCAAGAGAAGCAATAAAATATTTTGGTCTCTGCAAAGACTAACTGTGGAATTTGTTTTTGTGTTACTAGGAAATAAAGCCAAAAGAATAGTACCAATGTGTGCAATAACTAATTATTCAACTGGAGGTGGAATGAAATGAGACGGGCTTTCTAAACCTGTAAAAAGAAAAACAATGCATAAAAATAATAGAAAAAGAAAGCCCAGTTTTTTAAAATAATCTTTTTGATGACCTTTTTCAGTTCACTTGGGATAAGGACTGCCCCCTCTAAGCAGTCACTGTCCGCAGCTGCCCACTCAACCCATCCTATTTTACTGCTACTCAGACACCTTTGTGGAACTATTCTTTTTGCCATTGCCTTTGAAGCTTACAGAATATTCTTCTGAATATGGTGGAAAATTTTTGATCCTTAAGAAAGGAGTTGAATTTTCCAAAAGATTCCAAAGATACGCAGGGCCAGGTTGAGGAAATAAAATAACACAAACTGGACACTGCTGTTTGTTTCAAAAATGAGGCACTATAGAATAGTAACATTGTGTGTTAATACAGGGGAGTATTTCATGAACGAGCTATGAGGGCAAGTCCATTTCAATGTTTGCAAAAATTATTTTCGAGGGTTTTGTGGCAATTTTTGTTACTGTTCAGACAAATGAGAAGGGTACTGCTGTTGGATATCCACCTACAGGAACTCCAGCAAAGCACCTGACCATGAAAAAGGATGGCCAGCTAGAATCTGAGAAGTCACCTGCAAGTTCACAGAGCCCTCAGAGTATGGGATCCATCAGTAAAGAAGGGGGCTGATGACATAACACCTAAGACACAGGTATGGACCAGACAATCGCTTGGGGTTTTGCACAAAGTTGGTATTTATTTCTGTATTGATTTATTTAATCTGGGATTTTTTTTTTTCTGAATAAAAGCTACAAAGACTTTCCCTCTAGGCGCTTAGTGTAACAGGTGAAATTCAGTTTCCATTTAGCATAGAAACCCACATTTGGGAGGCTGAGGCTGGGGAAATCACTTAAGCCCAGGAGTTTGAGACCAGCCTGGGCAACAGAGCCAGTCCTTGTCAAAAAAAAAAAGAGAGAGAGAGAGAGAGAAGGAAAGGAAAGAAAAGAAAAGAAAGAAACCACATAGACAGAACTTGAAAGAAAGAAAGAAAGAAAGAAAGAAAGAAAGAAAGAAAGAAAGAAAGAAAGAAAGAGAAAGAAAAGAAAGAGAGAGAAAGACCGCAATAGACCCAAAGGGCAATGAAATAGAAAGCTTCCCTCCAGAGAGCCAGCTGAGGCTTGGCAAAGGCAGCTCTGAGCCCCTAAAGGGGCCATCAGTCTTCACTATGAACGAGTGAAGAAGGAAGCTCTCCAAGTACAGTGAGTGGAAAACAATATTATTTATTGTCAGAAGCAGCAAGAAGCAAGGCCTTCAGCCTGAATGCTTTATATTAAGATCAATGACGACCATTTCTGGAAGATGTCTTGCATGGTACAGACTGTCTGAGGCAGACTGAGCACAGGCCCTTACCCTGATTTTATCAATGAAAAGCTATGGGACTAGTTTCCTTACCTCTAAAATGGAGAGAATAGTAGAATCTTCCTTCTAAGACTATTGTGAGCATAAGCTGAGAAAATGGAGGTAAACTGCTTAGCCCAATACTCGGATTATCGTAAATATTCAGTAAAACTAGCCACCATTGTTACTGTAATTATTATTTTGTATTTTGTTATACATTTCATGGAAACTTAAAAGGTAGTGATAATCACCTCATTTTCAGTTGCCTTGCTTTCTTCCTATAAGTTTTATTCTCTCTCTTATCTTGTTCACTGTCTTTGTAACTAAGTATTGCCAGTTTAGTATAATTATTTTCCCCTATCCTCTATAAAATCATATACAGGATGAATATGTTGATCTCAGATATGTCCACTGAGTTTTAAAATATTAGTATGAAACCTGAACTAGGTACTCCTGGAACAAATATGAAGAAGTGCTCCTTTGTGTCAAAGGTAGCAAACAAGAATGTTCTTTTCTAAAACTAGGAACCTCCACTAGTGTTCACCAGAAATAAACATAAAATCTGTAGATCCACATGGATTTACTCAAATACTTTGCAGACTCCCTATCAAAACATTCTGGTAGGGCCTGGCTATTAAAAATATATATATGCCATCAATGCATAACGGCAAATAGACAAAATTGCTGGAAAAAACTCCTAAATTGGAGTTTGGAATCAATATCCTTTTGACTATTACGTCAAAAAGAAGAGAACATAGAAATTGTCTATCAATGTGCTTAGCATGTATTGGTGTTAGCCTAATATAGCAACCATGAAGGTTTATATCATAAGCAATTCTATTCTTCCTCATTTGAACTTGCCCTCTTTCCACCTCTCCCCAAATACCTCCCACCCATCTCGCACGTATGTTTCTTTTACCTTTGCCTTTTGAACCTACATCTTTGAAGTTGCTGCTATCCTCTGAATCCCACGAAGGCTGCTGATTGCCCAGGGCCTTGGGTTGAGGTGGCTGGTGGTTTCTGTTCTCCTTTGCTTCTATGAGACCCAGCAAATTGCTTGCAGCTTCTTCCCACCTGATGTACTCTCTCAGCTGTTGCTTTAGGCTCCCTCTCTCAGAAACAGAAGACTCCCCTGTGCTCTTTTTCCCCATTAAGTGTCCTGTAAAAACCAAAACAAAAACACTCATAATGCCACAAATTTAACCAAAGGGAATGAACGAATGAGAAATTTAAAAGGACATCAATTGTGTTTGTGCTGCTTCCCCCTAAATGCAGAATAAATCATGTTTTATTATTAAGAGTTAGTTCATAAATGACAGATAGATTTTGCTGTCTGTTCAAAATGTGCAATGAGCTAGACTGCATTCAGAACTGCAACCCAGAAACCCTGGGCTTGGTTCCAGCACCTCTACTAGCTAGTAAGGTGACCTCTGCCAAGTCGTGTAGCACCCCTAGTCTTTAATTTTCTCTACTATAAAATGAACAGGGTAGACTAGATTAAATTTAAGGAGCCTTCCATATCTAAAATTCTATCATCAATTCTGTATGCACCAAATTCTATTTCCAACTGAAAGATGGAGTTTAAAAATCTTCCCCAGCCAATTTTGAATTGCTGCTGAAAATAAAAGTCTCCATGCTTTTCTTTGTGTGGTTTTTAAAAAGTATTGCTTTCCTTTTATCTGTAGTAAAAAATACCAAAGGAATTTTTCATTTAAACTTTCTCAGAATTTTAGTTGAGATTGAACCTAGGAAACTACCTAGATTGATTGTTTGTTAAGAGTGTAGTGAAAACCAAGTTGAAAACAAGCCCCGAGTAACACTTTACAGCCACATAAATGCAGAATTTTCTCTTGGGTGTCTGCAAGTCTATCAATGGCTCCAGGAATGTGTGCTAGCCGTGTAAATAATTTTTTTAACAAAACAGCTGTTAAGGAGGCAAAACCACCAAAAACATGAAAATTTATGTATGCAAGAGGGGATAACTTGGAGTCAGAAGTGGGTACAGAATTCAAGGTCTGCATTCTTAACACTTTAGACCCTTGCTTTGAATATTCCATGTTCTCTACTTTTTACTGTTGATTTTTCCTCTCTCTCTCTGTAATTGGACTTTGTAGCACTTTGAAATTTCTAACGTCAACAAAACTATGGTACTTTTGATCTAAAGTGTGCAAAGGAAAAGGTCTTTGTGGTGCCAACACTGACTGGCATTAGAAGTATTTAAGACAAACATAAAATTTGAAAGATCTTCAGCCTTAAAATGGAAAGAGGCCCTTTCCTAGAAGTTCTATCCACCAACGGAGAAGCCCTCGCTGTAAGCAACTTTATTGCTTTTATGTGTATTGCGATTTGCAGTATATGGGATGTTTAAATGTGCTTGATTTTATCTGATCCATATGCTAACTGGTTTGGTGAAAATGAGACTTGCCAGAGGTCGCACAGATGTAAGTAACTATTTTAGGATTAAAATCAGCTCACAATCTAGACTACATTATTATACTGCTTGGCAATGTCTTTTAACTTGCTAAGAATATAAGGCAGCTAAAATCATTCTGGGATCTGGAAATAAGGATAAGGTCTACAAAAGGCTTTCTAATGTTATAAAAATAGGGATTATATACCAATATATCATGACACATTACGTAATTGAGAAAAAATAATTCTATGAGTATTAAGGAGCATTAAAATCAGGTTGTACTGCATTGCAGTGTAAGCGTTTGCCAAATTGCTTATGACATGAGACTTCACACAATTTCAGGATCCTAACTAGGAATACTGTCCCAAGCGAAGGCCTGGAATCCTGAATGATTGGCTCTGCACTTATCAGCTTGGTCACGTGGTGCTCAGCTATCCACTCAGTAACTTTGCATTCAGCCATAACAGTGATTACGTTGTGCAACTTCCCAGGAAGTAGTGATGCATTTGGTTTTATTTATATGGAGGAAATTGAATCATGATGATTGGAAGGCAGGACTAGAATCCTGATACTCCCAGTAATGACCTAGGTCACCTTACCCTTCTAACTGCCTATCATCTAGTTAGAATGCTGGAAATGAGAAAGAGTTATTGCCAATAAAACAGAGGAGTGATAGAGATATCACACATAAGAACCTCATTTTTGTCATGCCTGAATAATTTTGTGGGCTTTTCTAAAACGGGAGGAGAAAGTCATTCTCCAGTCTGTGATTGTACTAAATTTCAGTACATGCATATCTGGGGAATGTGTGGGGATCCGTTCTTTACCTCTAGATCCATAGACTGGTTGTTAAGGAGAGCACGCTATCTATAACATCCCAGGGAAGTACACATTCCCTGGGTCTGATTTCACTTTTGAGCTAGTGACTGTCAACCAAATCATCATCTCCATGGCAACATGGATGATATGCCCACTTCCACCTCTTCTCCCAACATCATTTGTCAAGTGCCCATATCATAATAATGGCAATCTCACCATAGACAAAAGACAGTCACTTGAAAAAATAAAACCTTGATCAGAGAAAAAAAGGCTTTTGTTCTTTTTATTAATCATTTAAAGATACTACTAAAGGGATGGTTTGAAACAGAAATGAATACGGCATAGATGAAAGTGTTGAGTACTCCTAAGAACTAGTTTCTCTGGACCCACACTTAAATTCTATTCCACAGTTTCTGGAGCCATAACAAGCCATTCTGCAGCTGAATACTGGCATTTCCAAATTCAGCCTTCTAGGATATGTCTCACATTCAAGTTAGAACCACAGTTAGGAGCATTTCATGGGTGCACAGGGAATAGTCACCAGTGTAAGTGTTGACTTATATTTTCATCACACAAACAAAACATTTCCACAAACATCAAGCGGATAAACATTTGTTAAGTTTTCAAACTGGTAACCTTTTTTCCATTGCTGCGCCATCCTTCTCTCAGCTGGAAGAAGCAATTTACTTACCAAGTCTGTAAATGTGTGCTGACAGCATCTTCATGGACAGCAGTATGTAGCTTTAGTTTTATATAATTAAAACGAAGCTACATGTCTTTGGTGATTGAAGAGGATAAGCATTTTCTTGGGATAATTGAAAGCTGAATTTAAAATCTAACATCATTCATCCTTGTCAATGCTTATATTCCAACAGAGGTCATTTTACTCAAAGGAAACTTTTTCTCAACCACAAGGTAATTTTAGGCCGAAATGTGAGTTTCTACTTCACCTCTCTCTTTCCCTTGCTCCTCCTCAACTCTGCACAGCTATCAAAGGGAGAGAAAGAAGTGCATTTGAGAATAAATATGAAAGTAGTATTTGGGGTCACCTCTGGTTGGTATTCTTTTAGATTAGAAATGCTCAAGTACCACTATGAAGAGCAATTAAATGGCAGCCACCCTAAATAACTGGAGACAGATGTTCTCCAGAACTACAGCAAATCAAGATTGGCTTGACTTGTACCAGAGATAACATGATGCCGCTCCCCAGTTAACTCTATTGTCCTCCTTTGGGCCTGCAAGGGTTACCTAATAATAAGCTTTATTAGTATAATAATATAGATGAGTAAAAAGAGATTGGGAATCCAGAAGTTTCATTCCACCTTTCCAGCCCCATTGGCTGGTGGCTGGGTCAGATAATGGCCACTTGATCTAAGCTCCCAGAAGCCCTCTTTGAGAAGCATCAATTCTAAATTTGGATTCTTCAACACCTGCAAAGCATCCTTCATTCTTGAAACGCAGGGTTTTTCAGCTTCACCCATTCCAACTTCTCCTCTCCACACCAGACTGCTGGGTTCCTCCTGTCCCTCAGCGATCACATATCCTCTCATTCCTGGAACTGTCAAGACTTGGCAAATGATTATTTTAGCAACAGTGAAAACCACTGTGTTGCAACCCAAAGATCTCGACTTCCCTCACAAAAGCACACACAACACAGAAGAGCTGAGGAAGCAACAGTTCCAGTCCCACTCCCTTCCCCAAATTCTTTGTCTTCTATCAAGATTTGTGAATGAGCCGATATATGAATTAGCAAGTACTTGTTCAACACACCGTTCTCCAGCCCTCCCCGCCCCCCTGCCCCGCCTTCTAAGTAGATGGCTAAGGAAATACACACACACACACACACACACACACACACACACACACCCTTAAATCTCTTCCCACGAAGCTGGTTGGGGTTGTTGTCGTTGACTTTTGTGGGGCGGGTGGGTGGGGGAGTGAGGAAGTTGGATGCTCTGCGTTTGCTGGAAGCTATGCTCGGCGAGGACGAGAGCCGCGGGGTGATACTGGATGAGCCGAGGCTACGGGTCGCTTCCTGCCTCCCAGCTGAGCGACAGCAGTGAGTGCGCGCGGAGCAGAATCCTGACCCCACCCGCAGGCGCCCTCCCCACCCGCAGCGCGGCCGTCCTCTCCGCCCGGGTTTTGGGGGCTGTGGCGAGGGAGCCTCCAAGCCGGTGCCTAGAGAGCAGGACCTGTTGCAGAGGGAATGGGAAAGGAGCGAGAGGAAAGGGCGAAGTCGTGGGTCTAGAGGGGCGGAGAAAGAGCGGAGCTCAGAGGGGCAGAGAGATCGGGATGAGCTTGGAGAGCAGGCGAGATTCCCCAAGCTCAGAGCCTGTAGGCTGGAAAGAGGACAAAAGGGCAGGGAAAAGAATATCGCTGCAAAGCGAAGAGAAGGACTGTGGAAACTCCAGAGAGCCACAGACAGGCGGGATTCAGAGCACTGCGCACTGAACAGATGTGAAATCCAGGGCGGGAGCGCTGCGCCGGAGGTCCCCACACCTGTGGCTTTGCGGGGCGCATAGGCGCAGCTTAGATTTCAGCCCATGCCGGTCGGTGTTGAGGCCACCGAGCTGGACTAGGGTTCTGAGATGTTCTTAAGGGACAACGCTCCCCAAGATTATTCTAGGAGAGTACCGTGCCAGACAGGGTGAGACTAGGCGGACAAAAGGAGATGTAGGATGCACGCAGAGGGAAGATGATCCGCACCGGGGTTGGCAGTTGGGAGCTCGGGTGCCCTGGGGAACACGGGGAGACACCGGCTGGAAGCGAGCGGGAAAGGATCAGGGGACCAGCTTCCGGCTGGTGAGGGGCTCATGGGCTCCCTAGAATGGGGAAAGGTGGGGTGAAGTTTTCGGAGAATCGGGAAGGTGTTTCGGTAGAAGGGTCACAGCAAACCCAGCTCCCAAAGCTGGGCCCGGGAAACGCAAAGAAACGGGGAGACAGGTCCCCTCTGGCTGGCTGATCCAGAGGAGGCCAAGCGCGCGGCTCCCGCGGCCAGGACACTCACCCACCGCCCAGTGGTTGCCGCGCGGGTACATCTTGGTCAGCACGGTCCCTCCGCCCGCAGGCAGCGGGACCGCTCGCCCCCGGGGCGCCTGGAAGAGGACCAGCGCCAGTAGGACCAGCGGGAGCTCGCGGCCGCGCATGGTCCCGACGGGAAGCCCTTGGAGCGCGGCGGAGAGGCTGGGCGAGGCTGGGTTGTGCGCCCTACTGGCAGAGCAGCGACTGGTGACCCGGACCTCAGAGGAGCTCCGCCGCCGCAGCCGCTGGTGCTACTGCTGCGGCCTCCACTAGGGCCCCTACTTTATATGGAAGCCCGGGCGGGGGGAGCTGGGGGCTCTTCTACCGCGGACCGGAGCGCTCTGACGTCTCCCTATAGCTAGCCGGGGCGCTGGGACGCCCGGTCCGGAAAACCATCCGTCTCCCAGCCGAGTGACGAAAAAGCTGAGTGTACATTGCCCCCTCTTTTTTCCTCATAGCCCCGTCCGCCTTCGCCACATCGGATTAATTCCTCCGGTCCTCGACGCCTTACATCCAACACAATTTAGTGAACTCCTCCCTCTCCAGGCTCGCCGGCGCCTCCAGTGTTAGCTGCCCTGAAATTCCTGGAGAGGGCGACCCCGCTGCCTGATCTGGGCCGGGAGGGGTTCGGGGGTGGTGTAGATGGAGCCGGGTGAGCTGTAAAGATAGATGGGCTTTGCTGGAGGGATTTAGAACCACTATTGAAAGGCCTTCTGATTCTCCAGACCTTTCTCTTCGTAGGCCACATCTTTGCTGTCCCAGTCCATAGATTTCGGGACCTTGCCTCCTCCTTGCAGATCTCTCTCTCTTTCTCTGGACCTTGCCTTTTTCTTGCAGCTCTCCTCCCCTCCTCTCTTCTCCTCCCCTCCCCTTCCCACTCTCTCCCCTCTCCCCATATCTCTCTCTCTCTCTCTCTCTCTCTCTCTCTGTCTTTCCCTGCTGCCCTGCACCTTAAGTTTAAGGGCAGTATCCTTAACCCACCTGGTATTCCCAAGCAGCCCTGCCCACTTGCATGGCAAGACAGAAGACGCCTGGCCCTTTTCACAAGCATGCAGCTTCCATGGAATAGAGAAAGAAACTGCTTTATGCCGGTTTCCCTAGGCTGCCTCTACCCGAAAGCTCAAACTGTCCCTAAACTGCCACATACACACCCCTCTAGAGTTGCTCAACGTTCCTCTGCTCCTTCTGTTCTCAGATCTAAAGAATGGTCACCAGCCCAATCCCCGAGGTTCTAAATACCATGGATACACAGGGGATCGGCACCATAGCAATGCAACAATAAATAGAAGCTGGTAGGATGCTGTTGCCCACGTTTTGGCTGCCAGAGTTGGCCGTGTGGTTGGAATAGGTGAGGTCTGTTCCTCCCCAAATGCTTGTTAATTGCCTCCCTGGTGGGTCTTTACTGTTCCATGTCAACGTAGTGTTGATATTGGTTTTGATAAAGTTGAAAACATACACTTGTGTCTGAGTATCTGCTGATTCAATACAGTCTTTTATTTATTTATTTATTTTTTATTTTTTTTTATTTTGAGACAGAGTTTTGCTCTGCCACCCAGACTGGAGTGCAATGGTGTAATCTTGGCTCACTGCAACCTCTGCTTCCCCGGCTCAAGCGATTCTCCTGTCTCCGCCTGTGGAGTAGCTGAGATCACAGGCATGCAACATCACATCCAGCTAATTTTTGTACTTTTAGTAGAGATGGGGTTTCACCATGTTGGTGGGCTAGTCTTGAACTCCTGACCTCAAGTGAACCGTGGCCTCCCAAAGTGCTGGGATAACAGGCGTGAGCCCCCGCACCTGGCCTTCAATGTATTCTTAAGTGATTACACACTCACATTGCATGACTGAGTATTCTTGGATCTGAAGAGTATTTTCATGCATGTGTCTGAGTCTAAGAGAAAGAAAGTTAATTTTAAGATCATTAATAGTTTGGTAGCCAACAAAATACAATAATACTACCCTCCAACAAAATACAATAATACTTCCTCCAACAAAATACAATAATACTTCCTCCAACAAAATACAACTCCAACAAAATACAATAATACTACCCTCCAACAAAATACAATAATACTTCCTCCAACAAAATACAATAATACTTCCTCCAACAAAATACAATAATACTTCCTCCAACAAAATACAAGAATACTATCCTCAGGGAGTGATTCAAGTGAAAATCAAAAGAAAAAGGCCCACATATTGGCCTGGGCTCCATCCCTCCCGGGTTCTCAGCCTCTCTGCATTTCGTCCCCAGGCTCTGTCAGTAGGCAAGTGTTCCACTGGCAGGCAACTGATCATCCCTAGGCTTGCTGCCTCCCACACAGTGAGCTTGCTTCAAAACAGGGACTTGGTGTTGTTCCTCTGTGTGTCCACGGAGCACCTGGATCATAGTGGTGCTTGAGAAGTATTTGGTGAATGAACAACAAACCTAAGAAATACCCAGGTCTAAGAAATGCCTTCTGCAACCCTGGATCTTTGGAGATGCATTAAACCCTTATCTCTCCAAATTAAGTTGTAGAAAAATGCTTTCTCTTTAGTTTAACCAAGATTATTTTAGAGTCTTTCAAATGAAATCCTCCACCTCCCACCATCCCCATGAAACTAAGGGGAAGCCACTGTAAAGACATTCAAGTGTAGAAATAATTCTTTAGAAAGCACAACACTTCCGCTAATTCGGGCAACACTGTTTCTCCTGTCCATTACAGGCCAGGAGATGTCTAGGCCCCTCCACTCACCTTCGCTCTTGCTCCAAAGCCACCCCAGCCTACAGGTTTCCTGCATGCAGACCACGGCTGGGCCACATGACTTGCTGTGGCACCCTATAAGGACAGCACCCATGTCATCTTGCTTGATACTGCATCCACAGTGCCTGGTCCAGTCTTAGGCACAAAGATGGAACTCAGGAGATTTGAATCAATACATTGTCCTCCAGGAAAAGGAGGCTGAATCCAAACTTCTCACCAGAAAAGACAGTGAACTGTTTCCAGTTAGAGAATGGAACCTGTGCATGTTTGATTCAGTTGATAGGCGTCCTCTCATATACCTCTTAAAATCCTCACTACAGACAGCTGGGTAAATATGATTAACCCCACTGACGTAGTTAGGGGAAAGCTGAACTCTTATGAGACAGAGACCTTGCAGTGCAGTGACCCATTCAAAAGAGAAGTCTGTTTCTCTTTTCTGTCCAGGGCAGGTGTTCCAGGTTGGCAGGCAGCTCTGTTCCACATTGATATTCAGAACCTGGGTTCATACCACCTGCAGTCGCCACCGTTCCCTACAGCAGCACTACTCAAAGGGCTGGCCTGCAGGGAGAGAAAGAGCTTGCGTCAGAATGTAAGTCAAGGCACTGCTTCCTTCATCAAGAGCATCTTGCTATGAAAGAAAAATGTCAGCTATACTAAACAATGTGTGTAGAGAGGTCATTGATTTGTGTCCTAGCACAGGATCTTTATCTCATTGTGGATGGGAAACAAATAGTTTGGGGATGAGCAGCTGGTCTACGGACCACATGTGATGAGCACTTTCCTATGTGTCTGCACAGCTTGGGTTGCAGCTGCCAAAAAGGGGAAGATGGAGGAGGCACACCCGCTCTCTTAACGTACCAGCCAAAATGAAGCATGTATCTCTTCTGCTCATGTTTCATTAGTAAAAAGTCAACCACATGGTCATAGCTAACTGCAAGAGAGATTGGGGGTTACAGTCTTAATAATCAGTTATGCCTGGCTCTGATTGCATCACTGTAGAAGGAAGAGTCCATGGAGTTTGACAGATAGCTGAGAAACTCTGCCAGAACCAACTAGTGCCTGTTATTCCATGATTTACGCTGTGACCTTTTAGCTCAGTGACCCCGGATAGTTCATCACCCAGTACATTTGTAAAGTTATTTCATCCCATGGGGCTCAGGGGTATTTTGTGATTTGGGGTTTGTTTTTGTTTTTGTTTTGAGACAGGGTCTCCCTCTGTTGCCCAGGCTGGAGTGCAGCGGTGCAGTCGCGGCTCACTGCAGCCTTGACCTCCCCGGCTCCAGTGATTCTCCCACCTCAGCCTTCCAAGTAGCTGACACTACAGGTGCACGCCACCATGGCTGGCTAGATTTTGTATTTTTTGTAGAAACAGAGTTTCGCCGTGTTGCCCAGGCAGGTCTTGAACTCCTGGGCTCAAGCTATCCTCCCACCTTGGCCCTGCAAAGTGCTGGGATTACAGGCATGAGCTACCATGCATGGCTGAGTTCAGGCTTTGATGAGCTTTTAACTGTGCAACAGGCCATATATATTTAGATTTCCCATTTTTTTATTCATCAAAGACGTAAGGAACCGTCTATCAATCAGAGCTTCTAATCAGGTTGAAACAACAAGCATCACCACAGAGAGTCGATGTAATTCCAATATAAATCAATGCACCATTGCATTTTAGTTTCTTCATGGCTTTTTGAAATATGGAAAGTAGCTCACGCATCTCTGCCATTGCTCTTCGGGGATTCCGGGCTGAGAGTCTCTGCTTAAGTTTAGCGGCTATTTTTGCCAAGTGAAAATAGCCCAGTGTGGGGAAATACCTTAAGCTGTGACTGGCCATTTATATGTGGAGCCAGTGAAGGCTTTGAGGGCAGGTCTTGCTGCCATGAGATGCTCCAAGATTCCCAGGTCCAGGCTGGAGTGAAGGAAGCAGAGCAAGAAGGGGAATGACGGAGAACAAGGAGGCAGTGGTGAGGAGTTTAGGAGTCAGGCTGGCCCGAGTTCCAATTCCTCCTCTGCCATTTAGGAACTATGATTGGCACCTCACTTAGCATGGGCATGTCAGTTTCTTCATCTGTAAACTGAGTCGGTAATGCTTCCCTCCCTAGGATGGTAGGACAGTTAAATGAGATCATGTGTATCTATTGTCCAGCAGCTACTTATTCTTTAAATTAATAATAATGGACAACTGTAATTAGGGCAGGCTAATTTGTGTGTTAGATTGTGATTTTCAAGATAGCATCATTTTCTTGTTCAAGGCCTAATCCAGTGTTGTGCTATTTAAGTCTCCTGAGAAGGAGATCATACAAGTAATAGCTGCTGCTTAGTGAGTACTTATTATGTACCAGGGACTGCGTGTGATTGTTACGTGCATTTGTTCATGTGCTCTTCACAGCTATCCCATGAGGTGGGTGTTATTTATCCCATTTTATAAGTGAGGAAACTGAGGCTCAGAAAGGTTAAATAACTTGCCCAGGCCCAGATGGT